CCGTGCTCGACGCCGCGCCCGAATCCCCAAAGTGCCACTATAGACCTAAGTAACCTTTATTGTTTTTTTCTACTGTTGTTATGTTTTATTACTATTAGTGTTATTATTCGTGCGCTCACCCAATAAGGCTGCTACTCCTTCTGGGTCGGCGGATCTCTGCAACTCCTGGGCGCAGATTTCCTCCATCCAGACGAGTGCCTGCGGCTCCTGAGCCATGGGACTTTGGGGGGCTCATGGAGGTTTATGGGGGGCTCATGGGGAACTCATGGGGGTTCATGGGGTTGAGATTTGTGGTTCTTTTGGGCTTGAAGCCTCAACATCTTGGCGTTCAGGGCTTTCAGTTTGCAAAAGAACTGGCTTTTCTGCGCCCAAACCAAGAGACTTCTGCGACATGCACAGCCACAGCCCTAGCGGAGGCAAGGTGTGCTTTTCAGTACACACATGGCAGTGTCGATAGCTCTGTCACAGCAGAAGAGCATCTGCAAGCCTGGGCACGCCTACGCGCCTGAGGTTCCTGAAGCGATGTGAGTCACAGCGCTGCTTCAGCTCCAAAGAGAGTGGGATTCTTTTGGGGGTTAGGATTTCGGGTTTAGGGTTTAGGGTTTAGGGTTCCTAAAATAGGGGTACCGTTTTGGGGATTCCTAGAATAAGGATGGCGGTACTTGGGGGTATAGCTGGGGTAGCCCTATTTTGGAAAACCCCTCTTGATGTTTCAGATGCAATCGGGGTCCTGGGCCTATTGGCATTCTTGGGCGCGTGTTGCTTTATAGGCTGATAAGGTGCTGGTCCTTGAAATCTTAATCCTTGAAAAACAATGTCAGATCGAGGTTCAGGGTTTCAGGCGCGAGCTCAAATTCTTGCAAGCACCCGCACCAGGAAGCCTTGTAAAGCCACTAAACTCACTAAGCCCCAATGGGCAAAGTCCTCCATCCGCAGCTCATGTGTGGGGGGTTTGCTATTTGATAAAGGGAGAGATAATCTGCAAACGTAATTGCATGTCTTCCCAGTGCCGTACTTTAGCACTCAAAACCATCAGAACGTTCAATTTTAGATAGCTCCAAGAGTCGATGGGTCGTATCTCCAAAAGCTTGTCACTTTGATAAAGCCCCTGACTGTGATACTCTGCTTTCGACTGCCTGGCCCTGTCAGCTGTCGGCTGTCCGCGGACAGACCCAAGGGGCCCCCCGCATCTCGGGTCATCGGTGGGTTCTGGGATCTTGGTCTCACGGCAAATGGGGCCCTACAAAAAACCAAGCTGCCAAAGCGAAGCTAAACCAAAGCGGAAGGGGCCGAAACCGCCCCCGAAGCTCTGTGAGGCTTCGGCGGCTTCCAGAAGTTTCCCGAAGCGCCTTTCCCAGATGCCTGGCGTTTTTTGTTTTCGGCACTTGCTAATAGAGGGGCGATAGTATTCCCTTATGGTCCCTATATACTTCTACTATAATAACCCCCCAAAACCCTATGTTACTTAATAAGGCCCCTATATTACGGTCTCTTTTGGTGGCAGTAGTATCCGAGCAGATTTGAAGAGTCAGACATGTCGCCCCCCCCCCCAAAAAAAAAAAAAAAATGCTGTAAGAAAACCAGCGAATGAATGAAGAGATGATCGCGAGAGCTGGTACTCAGATGCTCCCCTATTGGCTGCAAATCCTGAGACGCCCCAGCCCTCAAAAGTTGTCGCAAGGATCTGCTTCACTCCTACTTCTCTGTGTGCGGCCTATCCCTGTGCGGCCTGCGCCTGGTCGGGTGTTCATGAAGCGGTTTACGAGTCCGGTATTTAGGGCCAGCCAAACAACGAAATCTTTTGCCCCAAACCATGCCTCCAACCCATACAGGTTTCGGTCAAACTCCCTGAGTCGCTGAACCACAATTTTCCCCAAAGCCACGAAGCTTGCATCCTCAATCCTACAGCTTGCAGCCAGGCACCCAGGACCACCTTATGAAGAAACTCTCAAAGCCAAGGGTTCAGGCTTTTTCCCTAAACCCCAAACCCTAAACCTCAAAATCTTTAGCTCAGGCTACCGCCGCTGCATGCGCTGCTCGGCGTGTCGCAGCGCGCTGCTGACACGGTGCACACCGGGGACACGACAGAACAGGTTTTTGGGGCACAGGGGCCTTGCAGCGCGCTGCGTTCTGGAAAGGCAGTGCCTTAGGATGCTGTGGGAGGGTCTGCAGTCTGCAGCATGGCATGAGGAATTTCTTACTTAATATTTCAGTCATTCGCCATCTACTCGAGTCAACAGGTCACAACTGACGTACTGATTGGGTCCAAGGCAGCCAGTGTCACAAGTCTCAACCTAGCGCATGGTATCCACACATTGCTGTCGACATTCAAAAGGGGGGGCAGGCGCGGGAAGGTCCAGGACATAGAATAGTTTGCAGTTCCTGCGTTCCTGCGACCACCAGCGACCTGATGATGAGCCACCTGCTCAACTCCCACCCTCGAAGAATTGAGATGTACACCCCGTATGGTGGTTTCCGAAATTGGGGGTACCTTATTGGGGGTCCTTTTCAAAGGGAATCCTACTATCTGGGGTCTACTTTAGGGGTTTTCTATTTGCGTAAACCCCCCATATTCTGATGCTGCTGCAACTCTGATAGGGGGCAATGTTTGCAGCGTTGGGATCGCATCCAAATTGGCTTGGATTTGTGCGCGAGCAAGATGATACCAAGCCGCTTCAACGTGACAATGCCGAGGCTTCGGGAGACTTCGCGCAAGTGAGCAAACCCAAGATCCTGTCCGTTTCAACACGCGGCCGAAAGCACGCCCTGCCAGAACAGGTGATGCACTTGTGGCTTGATGAGCCTGCGAAGAGTCCCAGTTGCGGACTTTGTACGTACGCCACTAGAGAATTTGGAAGCGCAGACCATTCTGGAGAATGCAGTATGAATGACACATGCTGAATCAGAAGTATGCAGCTGACAGACTCAAGGCCACCCGATGTGTTCTGCCAATTTAGAATCGCCCATGGCAGCAGCTCTTGAGAACGCTTGCGCCTCTTGCGAACATACTTGCAGACGCAAGACGCAGTGCGACCTCTTGACGGTAATCAACTGATCCACTGCGTTTCTACGACGTGTTTAAACCTAGTAGAGGTGGCATGGTCCACATGCCAGAGGCTGAAAGGGGTTTCATGCGTCAGCACATGAGCGAGGCGCACTGTATAAGCTGTGCGTGAAGGCCGGTTGTGGCTAGATGAAAAAGCCTTGTTCGCCCTTTACTCCAAACACTGGCCCACGGAAGTACTATAGGGGTCGGAATACTGACTGATGTTTTCTTGTGGTCCCTGTATAATCATACTGTAATACCCTATTCTAAGTATTAAAGCCCATACATTATGTATCGCAGGTGAGCTGTACCACGGCGCCTGGTGGCACACTTTGGTCGCTTATGCCAGGCAATGACGCCAGCCAAGGCCCGCACTCTGACGGTACGGAGTTCAGAAGTTGAAATGGGGGTTTAGGATAATAGGGGTACGTTATTGGGGTCATTATTCTAAGGGGGTGTTAGTATTTGGGGGGTCTAGTTTAGGGGTCACTTTTTATCGTAAACCCCCAAATGGATTGTCGGACAAGGCTCAAGGGTCATAGGGTTGACAAAGTTCAATCTAGATTGTGCACGAGAGGCCTGAAACACCACACGGGGCAATGCATGTTTGTACAAGTTTGCCTGCAGGCACCGTGACGCCGGCGACGAAACCTGAGAGGAACCACAAGAGTTCAAAACCGTTGCCACGACAAGCGGCCTTATGTGTGTCAGTGCTGCTCGTGTCTGTCTTGCTTGCATATGCCCGCTCCCACCTGCAAAGTAGACCAGGTGACAACTGAGCCGAGTCACTTCGCACAAAAGAAGAAGAGTAGCCACATGGGCCTTAGGGGCTTACTGGCGCGAGTTCAGGTGCGGGATTTGGGGGTACAGGCACGGTTGCTGAGCGAGTTTGCCATGGTGAGAAAATGCATGTACTTGACCTGGTGAAGTGGGCGTTTGCATGCTGTACTTTCATAAGCCTTCTGTGCCATACTTTCTGAATATGAGAGCGATCGTGAGAGGGGTGTTCTAGAACTGTCAGAAAGGCTTGCGATTGTGATGTTCCGAGCGCAAGATCCACGGAGTCTTGGGGGCTCTTTATTGTGTAAAGGATTAGGGTTCAGGGTTTAGAGTTTAGGGTTAGGGTTTAGGGTGAGGGGGGAACCCTAAACCCCATAAACCCCCCTAAACCCCGCAAATCCTTGCAGAACGGGAGTTGCCTCTTGGCTGAACACATCGATGCATACCGCGACATCAAAGCAGAGAGGTACTCCGGGTCGACCAAATCATGCACAAGCAGGTTTAGGGTGTTTAGGGTTTAGGGTTCAAGGACTTGAAGTTTTCTGTGTCAAGTTGCAGCAAGGTCACGGTACATTCGTCTCTAAACAAATCGAGAGTATCGATGATTTGAACAAGTTTAAGTGTTTTTTCAATTACACCAATCCAAAAAACACAAACATCTCGTGAAAGTGAAGAATCAATTGACAAGCTCGAGTAATCTCGTCCAGTCGCGTCCAGAAATTCCCAGAATCGCATCGGTTCGCAAGCCAACTATGTTCAGAGCCTGTTGGACTTTCCATTCGCTGAACATCCACCTGGAACCCCATGGCGCCCCAGAGAGTCGTTCCCCGAATGTTTACGGCGACGTCCCTGCGAATGCTCAGGGATGTGCAGCCACAGTCAGGGGTTGAGTTCAAGAGGGGCGGGGCAAGCAGGAGGGTACTCTCCGGCCCAGCTTTTCGGCCCAAGCAAATCCCATCAACCCTGAAACATCAACCATGAGCCCAAGACCCCAGAGAAACCATATGAGCCCTGTAGCTGAACCAAGAGAGCACCACCTGACTCCCCAAGCCTTGAACGCCACAAAGGCCCTTAGCCTCTATGGCGCCTGGCATGGGAACAGCTCAAAGGATGGATGCCACCTGGTCCCACGACCTTTCACCACGGGTCCCCCAGGACAAGTCCCTGGGAGAGTTCTCTGAGCTTCCGGCGACACTTGCAGCAAGAAAGGAGTTGTCGGCGTTGGGGTTGCAATGCACCGCCCTTCAACGCAAGCTCTTTTTCTTGGAAAGCCGACCCCGTGCCTCACGGAGCCGGAAACCTGCAGCACACCCGAACTTTCCAGACCTCAGGAAGAGAACAAGCCCCTAAAGGCCCTAAACGGGTCCCGAACGGCCCCAAACCATTCAGCTCCTCAGCTTCTCCACTCCGAGGAATTATGAGGGATCGTACAAGCCCGCGCGAGTGGGCCTTCTGCGGGTGCTGGAGTCCGGGAAGATGCGGAGACTCGCTTATCAGCTCTCCAGTGCACGGTGGTGTAGCGACGGTGTAATATCGGGCCGTAATAATTAGAACGGGGGTTTGAGGGGTTACCATCGCATATTTCACATAGATACAGGGACCATAAGGGAGTACTGTTGGCAATTTTCGCCTCTGTTACGTGATCAGATGTTTCCAGCGGTTTGCACTCAATTCGTTCTGCTCGTGGTTGGAAGGTGGCGTTCGGAGCCTTAAACTTAATGTTTTGAGGTTTGTGTATCGTGTGGTTTTCAACACAAACACACACTTTGCATTTTGTAGTCATGTTGCGGACGGCCCATTTCGTGTTCCTGGACCCTTCTAAACCTCAAAGCTGCCCTAAGCCTTCTGGGAGCCCAGGAATCCGCTGCAAATGCCACCTGACCAAGTTTCATCAGTTGGGGGGGGTTCCGACATTAGGGGTACTGTATTGGGGTCCTTACTATAAGGGGATCCTATTATTTGGTCCCTTATTTTTGTAAACCCCCACTTACCCTGGCGCTGCTCAAGGTCCCTCCGGTTGAGCAATTGGCTTCCTTCGGGTTTCTAGAGTCTGTGTATTTGAGCTTGAGGTGTCGGATTTTCGTTTGGGTCGCAGCTGTGCATGTTCGTGTGCTGCGAGTTCAAGAAGCTGTGCGTTGCCACTTCCGCAAGTTGAAGCTGAACTTAATTCCTCGAATCTTGTTTGCGATAGAGCTTTCACAAGCCTTCAACAATTCACGATCGTACAAGAGTACAGCAAAGCGCTCCAGCCAAAGAGACGGACAATCAGACCTCTCAAAACGCTCGACAATTGCAACTTCAAAAAGTAAGCATGAACCCCACGCCACCGGTTCCCATCAACCAGCATCAGTGAAACTTGGAACGCCCCCGAAAAGCAGAGGCAGCAATCGCAGACGGACTGGGCCACCCGCCGACCCTTGAGTGCCTCTGGTGCGCGGAAACCCTCGCGCGGTGGGGCAAGCTTCAGCCCTTGGGACTTCCTTTTACCGAGCCTGTGGTTCACCGATGTTTGAGGGGCTCGTAGACTTTGAAAGGATATTCTGGATCATGCGGCGGGAAGGCTCGACGGGCTTAGGTCCTTCATGGCTTTGAGCTGTCCCAAACTGGCTTTCGGATGGTGCCATAATCGAAAATGAGCCGGGCCATCAGTGCCTCAAGTTCGGTTGGGAGATTCACCCCACTCATCCCTGAATTATTTGCGACCCTGCAGCTGACTGCATCATGAATTTTGGTCATCACTTGAGATGTTCCCCCTTATACTAGCAGTCCTTAATTGGGATCATAATCGGGGATACAAGGACTCAAAAAAACTTTCTGAAGAACGGTTAGGATAAGGGGCCCTAAACCGCCCCAAAAGGTCCACGGCTGGGCCAGCTGAGCAGCCGAGGGCCGAGGGCCCACGATCAGGCTGACAAGGCGGCCTTTTGCGTTGTTGCTTTGGGGGTTTACGATATTCGGGGTACCGGTTTTGGGGTTTTGGGGTTTTTGGGGGTTTTGGGGTTTTTGGGGTCTAGGGTTTAGGGTTTGGGGGGGTCCCGACTATAAGGGGATCCTGCTATTTCAGGGGACGATTTTAGGTTCCCCAATTTTCGGAAACCCCCATTTGGCTTTCCGGGTTTCGGGGGCCCAGGCGTGAGAACTCTCGGCGCTGGGGGCTCTACGGAGGTTTCAGGGTTGGGGGGCTTCAACAGGCAGAGAGCTTCTCAAACCCTGGAGCCTGAAACCCTGAACCCTGAACCCTAAACCCTAAACCCTAAACCCTATGCGGAGCTGCAACTGGTAGTGTAGAAAGGAGTTGGTGATGGGAGGAGAAAAGGGTCAACGAACCCGGAAATTTTTGGCTCAAGATGACAGTGCACTTAGTGAGAAAAGGGTGCTTGGTCTTTTGGGTTTGGTTTGGTGTTGGTTGGTCCAGGGGATCAAGGGCTTCTGTTGGGGTTGACTGTGTTGTTCCCTGTCCTCCTTCGGTTGCCCCCCGTAGGTTATGAGCCCAAATTAGGCTTCCTGCGGCATTGGTAAAGATTTTTCGTTTGTTTAACGCCATGGACATGATGCGGCGTCGCTCTGAGCCTGGACTGTCGCCCACGGCCAATGAAGCCGAAGGAAATCGTGGGGATGGGGGTGAAGATCGACAACAAATGGTACAAGCGCTGACAGATGGTAAGGAGGTTGCAATGATACAACCAACGCCTCAGGTGGAAAACGAAGTGGTTCCGGTTCAAGCAGCAAATCCTTTCTGGAGCGAGCGGGCTCAAGAAGAAACGAGACTTAGGCAATCAAGGCCGGCAAGTCTTCCCGCGAGCGGAGGGGATAGAAGTGGTGAAGGTACGAGGAGGCCGCCTTCGCTGCAAGATCTTTTGGGTCAGGAACCTGCACCTGTTGAGAGACCATCGTCAGGCTTAATGGGCCAAATGGAACGAGGTACTATTGGTGGAGTGCAAGCCGACGAAGAACTCATTCCTGATGTTAGTGGTGAAGAGCAAACTGAAGATATGGCGGTGGTAAAGCGTGCGCTGAAAGAGTTGCTTGTGCAAACAAAGGAGCTGGGGAACAGGTTGCATCGGGTGGAGGAGAAAAGCTATACCTCTGCTGCATCTGGGTCAGCTTCAAGGGCACGGAGCTCTGGAGTGGTGGACGCAAACACGGCATATCCTCTAGGAATGACTCCAGAGAAGCAGTACCTGCCAGGACAAGTTTTCTACACGGATGGTATGGGTGGTTTTTGGACTGTGTTGCCTGATGGGACATGGCTGCCTATTGAGGGCTACGACCTGCCAAAGGGTTGTGATCTTCAATCCTTGCCTGGGTCCAGGAAGGGGGATGTTCAAGTGGAGGATGAAAAAGAAGTGCCAATGATGCATGTAGCTGAAGGGAAGAAACCCTCCAGATTGCCTCCATTGAATTACCCCACGGGAGGTCCTGCAAGTGGTGGATATGCAAGTGGACCACCTGGTTTAACACATGTTCCGATTACTTCCGTGCCGTCAGGTGTTGATGGTTCTGCCGCACCTGTGGGGAACCAGCCCGGTTTTGTTTCAGCTCGGGAAACTGCAACGCAAGAGAACTCAGCAGGATCGGGTGGATATACAATGGTGGATGATGTTCCGTATCGGTGGAAAATGGTCGCTGGGAAGTTGGAATTAGAAAAGGTTCCGCTCACAGCTGTTACGCCCGGTATAGGACATGGACTACCTCAAGGGCCTGGTGGTAGGGTCAGTTTACCTCCTGGAGCAGTGGTGCCACGTGGTATGCCAATCACTGGTGATAGTTCTGGAACCGAACGTCCGGAGGCTCTCGGGAAGCATGTGATGAGCCTTCCAACTTTGGCAGACTACACACCAAGCAATCCGACGGCACTGGGTGATTGGATCGCAATGATCGAACCAATGTTGTCTTCACTGACAGATACAGGAAGAGTGTGGTGGCAATGCGTCTACTCAAAGGCATATCAAGCGTATGCCAAATGGTTGAGTGTTTCTCCGCTGGAAAGGTTGGGCAT